TGAAATGTATTAGTGGAGGGGGTGGGGGGGGGGTAAAAAGGGGGGTGCAGGACGGCCTAAAAGGGGGGTGTTCAATTGTTCTGACACACAGCATCCACCCCCCACTGATCTGTCGATCACTTGGCCATTATAAGGGGAGGGAGGGAGGGAGGATGAGTGGGGGGGGGGGGCGATCAGTTGGCGATCAGTTGACTCACGCATTGAACCAACTCTACCAAATGGCTTTGGGGGGGAAACCTAAGATTCCACATTCGTATACATGTTACAGGGGAGCAGCAGAACAGGAGGACACAATAATTCCATCGACCACCCTGCCGTGCAAAAACAAAACCAGGTAGTTTTAGAACCAATCCTGAAATAGTTGCAGTCTTTTAGAAAGGGAACACTGCGATAAGCCGATTGGCATTTAACCGGCGGCGAGGCAGCGACTGCCCGCGGAGCAGACAGAGACACCGGGAGCCCACCTGATCTCAGGGCTGCCGCAGGAAGTTCATTAAAGCGACGAGATAGCGACAGAGCCGAGAGGCACGTGTAGCTGCCTCCCGCCTCTGGAGGTTGCAAGGCCCAACCAGGCACCCCGCGGGTACCGCCTCAGCTTCATGATACCAAAACCCAATTGTCCTGAAGGCACGCCAAACTGTTGTGGGAAGGAAGCGGGAGCAACAGAACATTACATTAGTCTCCAAGGACACCACCAAAGGCCCACAGTGCATCACCTGACCAGACCCCTCGAAACTCCCTGAAACACTACAACAGCGGCATCGTCAATCGGAACAAGGACAACCCTTCGAATTAGAAAGGATGAAGGAGAAAAGAAAGTAGCAGAGGCTGAACTGAATGCGTTTTGCTCATTTAGATTCTACCAATGATGACGAGCCTGTGAACTACAGAAAAAAAACTTTGATCTGAACTTCTACAACGAAAAAACGCATTCATGGAGAGTCAGAAGAAGCACTTCAATGAATCGCCCCTCAGTAAACGCCTTCTCACGCCGTACCATTCCACAGGCACCTTACATCGCCGTTTCCAAAGAGATCAAGAGCTCAACTAGATGCAACTTCACGAGGGCCCCCGGGATCACTGCCCTTCTGAGAAAATTGCATTTTGATGAGCATGATTTAATATCAGCTACCACATAAACGACCTTCCATCTGCACTTCAGTGGCTTTGATGGTAAGCTATCAAACACACTGCTTTTGGACTCTTGACCCTGCAAGAACAGGAGGGAGCCGTGTGTTTAACACAACGCACACATTTTAAAACCATAGAACTGCCTTCCTCTTTGCTCTGCCCCCCTTCCCCTTTTATGAATGCCACAACTATTGCAGACAGATATTTACAGACATACTTTTTTTAATAAGTGGAAATTAAAACCAAGCACAGCGCTGCAGTGATCCTTAATGATAAGACTTGCCAAGTGTTCCGCATAAAACAAAGAGGGCAGTTGGAGTTTTATGGGCCTGACCTTGAGAGCCGGGTGACACACTTGGTTGGAGGTTTATGAGTTAATTATTACAGGCGTTAAAGATACCAGGCCACAGTTGAACGGAGCAGAGCCCCTCAAATATTAGTCTTTGAGTTATAAATGCTGCTGCAGACCGAGCGTGGCCCAGTTCTCTACGCCCTTATCTTATCGGCTCCGAATGTCGCTGCAACAACAAACTGTTATTTTCGGAAACCACCGTGATGCACGGCGCCCTAAACCTCCCTTCGGAGGAGCCAGAGAGCCCCGTCGCGCCGCGGGACGCCGCACTGAGGTCATCACCGCTCTGAGTTTCAGCCATACGGCGCAGGACTGATTACGAGCCGGGGGACGCTCCTCGGTCTGAAGAGAGGTAAAACCCTGTTCTCTTTGATCCCTGCTATTGTTCCATACCTGAAGCATGACATCAGGCCCGACTGCCAGAGTAAACCAAAACAGATTTCGCTTGAAGAGCTGCTACAAGAAAAAAAGAAAAAAAGCTGGAAGCGCAGCGTCCATCCCGCAGCCACGAGTCGCCTTCGACAGAGTTAACTGCTCTGAGACCTACGAGCTGGTCTAGACGCCCTTGAAGCGATTATCACACTATCAAATATAAACGTTAGGAGAAAATCACCACGCTTGTATTAGCAGAAAAATTTAGAAAGAAAAACCACCGTTTACACACCGTATGATTAAACACGTTTTGTTAAGTGTCATTAGTACGGCGCGTGTCATTTATTACCTATTTAGGAGAGCCATTCAACCACAAGCCCCAAACAAATCATCATGCAGCAGACAGGAAACGTGGGGATGAGGTCTTAAACCGCTTCCACGTAAGTGGTAGAAGATTGATATCATGGCATCAAGTGAGCCTGCAGTTCCTGTGCAGCACTGAATTTGGCTTCTGCCAAAACAATCAACGTTTCCATTTGAGTTTTTACTGCATTTCAAATGCTTATTGAATCTCATATCTGGCTTCAGCCGACCCCTCGGTAATATGAGTGGCAACAAACATTCTTATCTCTGCTTTGCCAACAATAACGTCTGCGGTTATGGGAGGGGAGGCGTAAGTCCTGTGCCTCCAATGAGACCAATATATCACCAGTCGGATTTATGATGCGGTTATCATAAGGAGGTAAACCCATCTAAAAAGTTCCTCTGTGACAACTGAAAGAGATACTGTGTAATTTTCAAAGTATGTCTCCTCGGCAGCAGAAGTCGGCACAGTTATGGTTCATGTAAAAAGGGCTCATTATTTCTGTAGAAATGTTCATGTAACAACCGCGAGTGTCACGTGGGACAACATTATCTCTCTGTAACTTTTACATCATATATTCAGTATTTCTACTTCGGCAGAAGCTATAAGTGAAACCAACTTTTCTGACCTTTGATCAACTTTTAAAGCTGAAACCGTTACGAATGGTCTGTGACCACATATCCAGTTCAACTCAAAACCGACTGCGTTACGATGAAGAGGAAATCAACATTTGGAGTTTGACCCCATTGCAAAGTGGAGAAAGTGAATTGCTAACAAACATGACTAAAGTTCAATCAGACTGCACATCTGGAGACATTCCTCACCGGCAACACGGGACAATGAGACCGAGTTTTCTGTTTTCTGGAGACCCTCGGCTCGCTCTTTAATGACAGTAGACCATGTTGCGTTCTCTGGCTCAATTATCTCAGTCTCTTCCCTTAACAAAGAGTTGCTCATTGAGGTTGGCCCTGCAGAAGGCCCAGACATACACCAGGAATCTATTGTAAAAGGAAAAGGCACGTGTGTGTGTGTGTGTGTGTGCGTGCGTGCGTAGCATACAAACCTGCACAATAAAACAGCCTTCATTCAAATCTGCCTTTTCAAAACACCAGAGGTGCAAGACAATTAAGTCAAACCCATGCAGACATGTTGGGGTACTCTCAATGACATTTAGCATCACAAAGACATACAGGCAGAAAACAGAAAGGTCCTATAGTCTTGTGGGAAATGCAGGCAAAGAAAAAATAATACCATGGCTCCTTTCACAGTTACGTCCGACTCAAATTATAATGAGCTGTTGTCAACAGGGGAAAAGAAGACAGTGTGAACATCCTCTTACTATGCAACTTAAACTAATAAAGGGCATTGGTACAATTAAGAGAACACATACAAATTGGTCACTAGTTAAGACCAAATAAGGCTGTGAAGACATTGTCAAACGTGTAAGAAATTAAGGTGGGAATGTCTGCAGAGGAGAGAAAAAAGGAAAGCTCCTTATTAAGTCCAGTAATATTAAACTGAAAAACGTTTTTGTTTCCAGAGGCCTTGTGTAGGATGAACTACTTTTGTAATTTTACAGGAAGCCACCTACAAAACCGGAAACCAAACCCGACTGAATTTAGGGGTTTGAATATAAATGCACGCATATTCATTTGACCCAGCTCATCAATGAAAGAGAAATGAGAGCAGGGAGGGATTTAAAGTATGCAGGGCACAGTGGAATTTCAAACCCCAACCCCCTCCCGCCTTCCCGGTGAAAGCCCCCCTACCTAAGTTTTCTATCACTTGGGTTTAACTCGTGATTAGCTAAATTGATTGGCCTTCTCACTTCTGTCTGACGCAGCAGCTCCTTGTGGTTACGGAGAAGTCGTCGTGCGCAACATCCTGCCTCGCCAACTATACCACAGGCCGATTTACAAGAAGAACATGTGCCTACACAGAAGATGTGAAAACCACAAAATCTACAAACCCAGAGAGGGACGATGGGGGATGGGGGGGGGGGGTGCTTGCTCCAAAAGCACAGGACTTGTTTACTAAATCTCTGCAGGCTGCCTGCACTTCACAGCCATAGGAGCCTCAGCAGAGGAAGCCTGGAAATAAACACAGGCCTGGCCCCTCCAGTGGGGAGCACAGTCCGTGTGTTGATTATACCTCTTCATTGTTATGAATTACCTAAAAGTATTTCCTAAATGAGGACTTTATTTACACACGAGAGTGGGGGGTTGCTTTTTGGCATGAAGAATTCCTTCCACACATCCTACCCTGCTCCTCACCCCTAAAACTTGCACTGGAAGTTTTAACACATGTAACAACAAAAAGAAGCCAAGTTTGCGTGATTAACCATGTTTCCATACAGACTTTGACAGTAGCACAAAATACCCATGAACAAAAGTGACAGTTTAACTGTTCTATACTTTTTTCCCCTTCTCATTTTAGTATATTTTTAGAAGATTTGGTCCATAAGAAAGCCAGTTGGAGAAATACCCTTTAATAAAAGTTATGACTTTTGAACAGCTCGCTGTCTCTTGAGACAATGTTGCCGCAAAAACTCAAAGAATGAATTCCACCTTTACACAGGGCCACATTATGCTAACGCTGCTAGCTTAGCACAGGTCCATTACCTTGACGAGCACCGGGGTGCTTCTCTGGGGCCCAACGGGGGTCCTCGACCCCCACTTTGGGTACCAACAACCCTGTACTACAGTAATTCTTTAATAAGCGGGTATAACGACCATACACACACACACACATATATATATATATATATATATAGAAACTCACCGTTGACGCCTTTGTTGGGGACGTCGTTGACGTTGAAGCCTTTGGAGCTGTACGCCGCGCGAACGTCGTTGCAGTTTTTCAACTTTTGCTCCGCGGTCATCGACACACTCAACACGACCAGCGTGCAAACCACACACAGCACCGACACGGGCTTCATGGCGCGGGGTGAAGAGGCCGAACACCTCAACGAAAAAAATAAAATAAAATGTGTATATATGTGTGTTTTAAAAAAAAGAAGAAGCGCTCCGGTGTGTGTGTGTGCGGGCTAGGACGAAGTTTGAGCGACTCCCACGCCGAGTTCCCTCATGGAGCCGCGCCGACTTCTTCAGCTCGACACACACTTCATTCAGCGCCGACTGAGAAAACACACCGACGATACGCGCGGCATGTGCTGCGAGTGTGCAGTTCCTGACTCAGTCAAAGAAGTTACAAAAAAAACACGGGGGGAAAAAGAAGCAAAAAGGTAGTTTTAAAACATGGAAAAAAGTTTTTTTTTTCTTTTTAAAACTGCAGGCGAGAAGCAGACTGCGGCTCCACGACAGGTAGAACCACGGGACGAGACGCTGCGAGGCTCCTCGGCTCCCTTTTCTTTCTTTCTTTCTTTCTTTCCTCGCTCTCGTTCCCAACTTGAGGCCGTGTTTTTTCCCGTCGGACTCTGGACTGTATGCTGGTCGCACCGGGATCCAGATGCAGGCAGAAAACCCTGGTGGACACCCAGGAGTGAGAGCGAGTTCCGGGGGACAAAGACCTGGCAGACAGGAACACCAGGGGTGGAGCGTGGAGCGTGGACTTCACCACCCGCGATCCCTTTCCTCCTTCTGGTGGAGTCCAGACCAGCAGAAACAGGCGGAAACCCACGAATCTCTAAAATAGCCGTCTGGGCGAAACTCCTCTGGTTGGGAAAAGTATGGAAGTCTATGAGAAAACGAGCTACTGTAAACCAAGAATAGCTACCTCAATAAACATTGAGAGCGGGAGCTTATGGCCTCGCTGGCTGGTTCAAAGTTGTTTTTAATACAACACAGTGTCCCTTTTTCAAAATGATTGTTACATTTAGAGTAAAATGAATCATATGGACACTCCTGCTTGCAGTCTAATGCCTAAATACGTCTTAGAAATTACGACTGCAACTAATGGTGGAGCTGCTACACTGAGGCAGGACATGGGGACGTGTTCCTGGTCCTCATTACACACACTAGATAACCAAAAGTTCTCAAAATCCCAAATCTCTTGCAGAGCCTCTTTCGCCCCGTGTTTGAGAGGGCTGTGTTGTCTCCTTTAACTGTCAGACTGGAGATAACCTCAGAGATAAAACCCTTTGAAGAAGAGGTATGTGCTAACATAAATTGAGTGAAATAACTAAGATAAAGCGCTTTACCTCTCGTGGACCCGAGGGAACATAAATGCTTCCAAATGTTTAAAAAACACTTTGGGATTGATGCTTGTCTGTGATGATATATTTTAAGTCATTGTAGTGCAGCATTAATATATATATATTTTTGACACGCTGCCATCTAAACGCCTTTTACCTGCCCGACAGAGAGGACATGGCAGTGAAGACACACATTTTCTCCAAATGTTATTTCTGTCCGGCCTTTATAATCCAATGCGTCTTAGTTTATTTAAAACTCTTGGATTAAATCTCGGCTTGTGGTACCGTAAGCATGCAGTCAAAATTACAGGCCTGTTCCTTACACAAACACGGGTCAGGCTGTTTGCTCTGGGACCGTTGTGTCTCTTCTGTACAGCTGCCTGTCTCACAGCGCGCGGCCAGTGTTATAAACTAGAATAAACAGTCTGAGAGCATGGTGGAGCTGCTCAACTGGATGGAGACGACGGGAGTTATGATGACAGTGATTGAATTAATTATGAATCCCACGGAACAGGAAGATGTTGTGGTGTGTATAGGAAACAATCCCCAAATCACTCAGATCACCTCCGTTGAATGAATTCCTGTTTGTGTCGAAGCGGCAACACAACACCCCCGAGATAAACACGGAGGTCAACGGGAAAACTTAACAAATCCCTTAACCACAAAACACGGTACGTTTCAAGCTAAATGTGTCTGAAGTAGCCGAGCATGCGTCCGAGAAATGTTCCTTCTCGTACTTTTCAAAGTGGCATCTGCTCAACAGATACTCAAAATCCCCCACATCCTGGTCCGTCCTCAGCCTGCCAAGAATATCTCTTGTGTCCTTCCCTCATATTTCTTTCATAATGTTGCACCGCTGTTTTCTTTTTTCTACTCTCAAGAGCGCTCTTTGGAATCTGCTGTCGTGACCTCTGCCCTGCCTGCAACGTGTTTCTTCTTGTGACACTGGAAAAAGCTATTTAAGTTCAATTTCCCCTGATAAGACAATCCGTTACATCCAAGGAATGTTATAAAAAAAGTTAACTGTCAGCCTTTAAAATCAACCTGACATGTTCCTCTCTTCATGACCCTCATTCTAAATCATGAAATTCAGAAGCCCACACTTGTTAAAAATGTTATTGTAAAGTCTGAAACATTGGACGTTGCATTCAATCAGTGCACACAGACCCAGTGTTTAGCACAACTAAGTCGTAATAAGACTTCTTACCCCCTGCTTTTAAACATGCCTGGACTTGTGGGGTGCTTCTTGTTCTTGGTGCCTGTCGTGCCTGTGTGTGTGTGTGTGTGTGTGTGTGTGTGTGTGCACGTCCGATGGTTTGGGGGGTAGCACTCAGCAAAATGACATTCCTCCTTTTGTGTCCACATTCCTCAGGCGGCTCCATTCATTCCGTGTGACTGCGGCTGCTGCAGGGGAAGCCAGCGGTTGCCGAGGAGCTGGAGGAGGATGCTGGAGCTGTGTGTGCATGGGAGAGCGTGGGCCCGCTGCTCCCCTCCATAGGCCAACAAAAGGTAAGAAAACGGTCCAGTGCCACGGTAATTAGACATGAATGAGCTTTGAACGACGTGACATGTCTCAGGCTCTGCTCTCCAGCAGGGGAATTTCGACACTCAGCTTGGTTAAAAAAAAAAAAAGAAGGGTTCTGACAGGAACCGGGAGCCCTCGCGCACTCGAGCACCTCAATCCCATTGTTATTTTAATCCGCACACAGCGCTTGATGACCCCTCGGGCTCATGAAGGTACCCAAGCCCAAACATTGTTGTGCAACCGCAAAACAATGCACAAATACATATTCATTAGGAAGTCAATCACTCGGGCAGAAAAATGCAACAATTCCTGGTAGTCAGCGCGTCTCACCGTTCCTGCTGACTAACATCGCGTTGACCTTTCTCCCCCATAATGCCGGCCGTTCCAACATTGCACCAATATTACCCTAAGAAAACACATGAACTCTGCATTTCAATAGGCCTGTTTGCCCTTTCTCCAGCCTCGCATTAGCATTCAGAGCATAACCCCCCCTCACTCCCCCTCGGCTCATTGTTGAGCAGTGAGTGAGCGTCTGTTACCTGGTTGAGGTGACTCCAGGAGGAAAAACTAATGGGGTTCAATGTAGAGGAACTCCACAGAGAGCAGATGTCATGCCCAAAGGGGGTTCATCATCTGCTGAGAGGGAGAAATGCGGATCCAGAGAGTCACACACATGATTCACATGCTGCTTTGAGGCATCGGAGGACGAGCAGCAAACCCCAGAGAAACATAAATTATATGAATTCCACGCAAAGGGCTTTGAAGTGGATCAGAGGGGGGAAAGCACATAAAGTAACTTGCTACATTGTGTGTCCCATTGATAACCGCGGCGGCACGCCATCCATTTTCTCTGCTCTCTTCCCCCTGCTCTTAGAAAGTGCCCTAAAAATGTGAGGTGCAAGTAGTTTAAGCCGATCTGTCATTCAAATGTTTTTGTTTGCCCACTATTCCTACAGTTGATAGAGACAACCCCAGAAAAATACATGATACAATTCTGGTGTTTTCTCTTCATTTTCTAAAGTGAAACTAGCCTTACAAAGTAAATCAAATAATAGAAAGTTATTTATCTTGGGAGGGAAGCTATTTCGTTTTATCTTGCTTCAACCGTTGAGGAGCGAGTGGCATATTTGTCCCGCCAACATATTTTTTCAGTCAACATGGAAACTGCCACATTAAAAAAAATATGATATTATTTATTTACATGAATCTACTTACATCCATGTGTTCTCATCCAAATGAATGGAGTTAAACAGGTAGCTCGTTGTGCAGTTAGCTCACCATTCGTAATCATGCCTTCCTATCGAGAACCGCGCCAAACATGCTAACCATGCTAACCATGCATTCATTTAAATTTCTCAGTTTGGCGTCACCTGGAAATGTATTTTCTAAACACATTGCTCATACACATTTAATGAGAATCCTCAGGAGGGAATCGAACAGTGACACCTCCTGAGAGGTTCCGATAGCACACCTACGTCTAAGATTCAGGGCAACTACAGTGGCTAAAGTTGTTTTTATAGTAAAAATGGGGGATTCAGATGTTACCGTCCTGTTATCATAGATTTGAGAGAAAACCCCAGAGGGAAAAGAAACTTGAGACACTGAGAAAACAACCACAACTGAAAAGCCGCGGAGCAGAAAGTAACAGGCAAGTGAAGCAGGATCCGGCTTCTTCCAATTACTGGAGCTGTTGATTATATGTACAAGCAGAGAACGGTGGAGATGATAATAATGCAGTTAGAAATGGAGCTTTCCCACCACGGAAAGTCACAAAACATGCTGCATTGCAATCCAGTGTCCTGTGGCTGCTGTTGGTGTACAAACTAGCAACTGTTTGAAGAAGCAATACTTTCCTGATTGTTGAGAGCTGTGCAAAGTCTAGCAAGAAAGGCCTGGTCTTTGACTCCGAGGAACATTTGAGATGTGTTAGATGACCGTTTCTGATAAAAACTTGAGGTGACCTCAAAATCCTCTACCCGAATAGACTCTACAAATGCATTTAGTTCAGGATGGAAATCCTGCCTGGGCTCCAATTACGCGGTCGGCGCGCCGCTAAATGCTACATCACAGTTGGGTGTGGTCACAAGTACAAGAGACCCCACCTGCTCGTACCTTTCTGTAATGATAGGTGTCCTGAGGTGTGAAGCCCTCCCACTGCATATTATGTGTGATGCGTGTCTGCTACAGCGGTAAAAGGGTTGCATTCTTTTCTCTAAAAGTCAGCGTGAGTTTTACACCAACACACTTTATTTTGCCCAAAGTTCTAAAAGTTTATCGGTTATTTCACATTCCAGAGCTCAGTTAGTCAATCAGGATTTCGCAATATTGAACAAAGTACAATCTGCTTTTCATTGCAAACCAGTTTGTTATTTTCCTGATTCAAATTACATTACATGTCATTTTGCTCACAATTTTTTTCCAAAGCGACCATAAGTGCATTTCAAACATAAGGATACAAACTCAAAAGAACAACAAAGTGCAATTTGAATCAAATGCGCCGATTTATAACTGGCTTTAGATAAGAGCCATTCCAAGTACCATTTAAGTGCTACAAATATGTAGACTGGACCTGTTCTATTCACAGCACGGTACGTGAGCCCCAGTGTTCTAAACTGGATGCGGGCAAACACTGGTAGCCAGTAAAGAGTTGAGCAATTGTTGCCTATTTTGTCACAAATACTTTTTTTATGAGTTAGTATCTTAAAATATAAAGATATTTTACGATGTTATGATTTGAAGCCAACTTTCCAGGGGGTTTAATGTGGAGCGGCTCTTTTAATTGATGTTGTAGGTTAGAGGATTTTCTTAAAACTGCCTTTGATATGAATGTTTGAGGAATGCTGCAGAATAGCACACATCTCCACCATCGCTGTGTGATTACATGGTCCGGAAACTTTCCTGGCAAAGTACATTCTTGGCTTATTAGTTTCCCATCCCGACTGATAGGAAACACATGCAGTAAGAAAACCTCATGTCTTTTGTCAGCAAAGAAAACAGTCAACCTTAAAACATGTTTAGTTTATTATACATTGTACTTTACATCAGCATTTAACCGGGAAAAAAGACAGACTTTACAACTGGGCATTCATTTATATCAACGTCTGATCACAGATATCTCTCATGACAAAAACAATAGCGAGAAGAACTGCTGACGGCTTTATTCTGCTCATGTGGTCCGGAGTCGGTGAACTGGCACTCTGCTGCATGCCGGATCCCTGGCTGGACCACAGCTGAATGGAACCAAGCCATCGCCGTTGCTATCAGTTACACCTGTGCTTTGTGCTCTGCGACCGCTCAAGACGCTTACAAGTGTGTGTTTGAGAGGATGTTCTGGTGTGAGCAGAATCCAGCAGAAACCAGAGCTGGAATACAGTCCAAACCGAACAAATGCTACAAAAAAAAAAACCTCTGACTTCTGGTTCAAACAGAAAATAGAAGGACAAATAAGGGAATGCAAAAGCCAGGCTTTGATACTATGTGAGCTCAATGCAAACCAACTACAAAAGTATTTTACACATATTTATATTACACATTACTCATCGCTTTTTCCGCCGTGTCAAAGCTAAACATTTTCTACATAAACTTTTTCTTTTGTAAACATAGCAACAGAGAGAAACATACATCTATACTATTACAAATACAATACAAAAAAATCTGCGTTACAAAACAAAGCAAACACTGACCATAGGAGTGTGACCTCTTGAGACTGAATCAGCTCAAAACAATGTAGCTATCACAAGGACACAGACAATGAGAGAGAAAGAGGGGGTTTAAACCTGGTGGAGAATTTCATTTATTTTGGGTGTCAGTGGGCTAAACAAATGACATAATAACCTTTCAGCAGCAAATCATTTTCTGAGTCATTTTGGAGGGAGGTCGTACCTATCGGCTCTTCTACAAATGCACCTTCACGTCCCTTCAGGTGGTGGAGGCCTGATTCCACGGCAGAATATTCTGCAGAAGCTGCTGCTAATCCAGCACGGTCAAAGAATGGCTACACTGCAAAACCGTCCAAAAAGGGGAGGACGGACTTGAGAAAAGGGTGCTGGTAGTTTAACCTTCTGCTTCGACCTCACAACTAGTTAGCTGAAGGCTAATAGCATCATTCTCAACATTGATCAACAAAATGCTGAGAGCTTATGTTTGGTATTTTTCCCAATAACTCCAAAACTAGTGTCTACCATGGCTTTAGGTAGTAAGAGGGCATCTTAAGCTACTGTGCATGTTTAAATAAGGGTTTCACCTCAGCCTGTGAGGATACCAGTAGACAACAACCCACCAGCTGGAGCCCAGTCCTGGCAGCAGATCAGTCACTGCCAAAGACGAGAGTAGCAAAAGCTTTTCTTCTTCTTCTTCTTCTTTTTCCAACTTGGTTCTGCAGGGCAGTAACGTGTTGCAGACAGGCAGCGTTTTTGCTGTGTGTCTGTTCTCCAAGGAGCTCCCCACCTGCAGGTCTATGACACGGCCGCGCCACGACCAGGGCGCCCCGTCAACCTTGTCTTCAAACAGAAGTCAGAAAGAGAGCAGAGAGGAGGCGAGAGGGCACAAGGGTCCTAGTGGACGTGGGCCGCAGCTCATCTAGACGTCGCCGTGGGTTTGTATGGTGTCCTTTAATAGGTTAGTTGAGGACCAACAGTCATTTTTTTAATGAAACCAAATAGGTTCTCGCTGAGAGAGATGAAGTAAATGTAGCATTTATTGTTCAACACTCCCTTTGAGGAGGCACTGAACTTCACACTGGGAGCCGAATTAAAAAAAGACAATAAACGGTTCGACAGAGTTCCTATTGAATCCTACGGGGAGGAAAGTGAGGAGTGGTAGAATGCAGCGGTCAGTGGGGGCGGAGCAGGAGCAGAGCGAGCGCCACAGCGAGCGTCGGCACCAGGCGGCTCCTCCACAGCTCGGCGGCAGGTGAGGAGGCGGCGCCGGCGCCGCCCGTGGCCAGATGAGGGGTCAGCAGCTGCTCCTGGAAGGTGAAGTCGTCCATTGCCAGGTTATCGGCCAGGTCTGAGAGGAGACAGAGATTGAAAAATATGAAACACATGCGCTGAGACAATTAAAACCAGCACTGTCACAGGAGCTGAAAAACACGTGCGGCGCACCTATCCTCCTTTTGCGTGATGTCTTACACAGCTGTAAAAACAGTGTAAGACTCTGAGAACGAGGACCTCTGAGCCGCGCATAGAACCAGATGTCGCATGTTATTGTTGCAGACGCACGCATAATCACTCCGACACATATTTCACCTGGAGTGAGTGTTGAAATGTGGATTCAAGGGGAGAGATGCTGAAAACAAGAAATGAAAATGAAGAACCACAGAGGCTGAATGAGGTCACGTCTCAGAGTCCGTATACCACGCAGTCATGTCGGCTGCTGTTTCTCTTCTCTTTGACACAACTTCATTGTTTAAGGGAGTTTTATTAAAACAGTGCCATAGAAGATGGAAGTCCACCAAACATACGGTAGTTTGTAGTTCCATTTGAAAATTCAAAGTGTGTAAAGTGAATGATGACACCTCATAGGTACAAGTTAAGGTATGTTGGAGGCATCTGGGAAGGATTTATAGTCCTGTGGAGTTAAATACTCCAGAGACAAACCAGGGTCCGGTGACGCACAATATCAGCCACAGGCTGTGTGTGAATGTGAAAGAATAAGTCCACATTTCGAAAAAATATGCTAATACACTATTAGTGGCTGAGAGTTGAATATGAATACTGTAATGTAACTGTGGAGTCGGGAGTCTGCTAGCTGAGTCTGGCATGCAGACTGGAAGCAGTGGAGTTCTACTTTATACTCGTGCAAATGTCTTAGAGATGTTGGCTTCTGGACTTGTTAGCGGTGGACAGGGAGACGCCCGGGAGTCTTTCCCCGTGGGGATTTGAGGCAGAGTGCCACAGAAGTCCTTGGTTTGATGAATGGAAGGTTGAAGAGGTGAGTTACTCCCCAGTCGCTCCTGTATTTCCCCTTTTTCCTTCCCTCTCCTTCATCTGTTCTACACTGCAAAGTGACATCTCGGTCACCTGCTGCTCTGCTCCCACTTGTCTCGCTGCTCTGCATCTACAGCTGTGAGCCCTTCCTCCTTCTGTGTGTGTGTGTGGGTGTGTGTGTGTTTGTGCATGTGCAACATATTCTGTGCTGCTGCGCCTGACAGAAAGCTGTTAGGGAGGCTGAAATAAGAAGGTTGTGTTATATGAGAGAGGGCAGGAGGCTATCTGTGATAAAGCTGCTCTATGGGTAGGAACGCCAGCTATGAGCCAGACGCAGCGCGCGCGTGCACACACACGCACGCACACACACACACACACACACACACACACACACACACACGCCGGTGCATTCCTGACATACCTCACCCTCACACACGTCTCGGCGGCAGGGCGCACACTCACAAATGCCCACTTTCTCTCGCACACACCGTCACATCTGAGCTCCTGAAATAACAGATAACTCCACGTTGAATTAGCCGTCTTATCTGGGCGCTCCCGGGTGGGAGGGAGCGGCCCGGGATTCCAACGAAAGCCGTCGGACCCGCTCTGCTTTAGTATAAACACTGAGAACGGGGCCCTTCCTAGTGGGTCCCCGGTGCACACAAGGCCCCTTAACTGCCAGGGAGCCGTCGTAAAACAGAGGCAGGGGGCAAATATACAGAGCCCTAAAAAAGCTCAGACTGGCATCTCTTACGGATTTCTTTGCAGCTACGACATCGTCCGAGCAGCCGGGGGACAATTAGCTGTTTTTTTCCTCCTCCTGTGTCCTCCGACACGGCAGTCGGCAGACATTCTTCGGGGCTCTGAAAGAACGATTTGTCACTGTCGACAGCGACGCACTGTACTGCCGAGCCAATTAAGCTCAAGGTGCAATTCGATCCAGCTTTTAAATACACTGCGGATGGAAGATGGAGGGCAGGGGAGGGGAGGGGGGACAGAAGTCTGCATTTGTGCGCGGATGACTAAGTGGGGTGTGCTCGCTCGTCTCTCTGTGTGTTTGTGAAAGTGTAAGGGCATTGTGGTGGAGTGCTTTACGGCGCCAATAACGCAGGTGAAAAAAAACCTGCCTCGGGGTCTCTGAAAGATAAAAATGTCCAGTCGCTCTCGCTACCTTCGACGTGAGCAGTGCCACAGAGGGGCCTTGTTCTGCGGGCTTTGAATACAAATCAACAGGGACTGAACACTATGCAAACTCAGAGCCCCGACACTCCTGCACCGGCCCGGGACTAATAATACACCTGAGCCCGTGCAGACACAGTCAAACAGGCGGACAGAAACTTCTTTTTCTCTTTTCCTTCCGGGCGCCTTTTAAGGAGGAGCCGCGACAGTGGACAGGCGGGGACGATTAGGCGCAGAGATGGATAACTAACGGCTAAAAATAGAGCAACTATCCCGACTGTGATTAATAGGGAGCCAAGCCCTCACCCTCCTCGCCCGTTTTGAGACTATTTCTCCCTCAAAGGACGCCACCTTGCTAGAGTTCTCCCCTGCAAGCCTGATTGTGGCCTGGCAGGCTCCAGTTACGGCCCCGGGGGGGAGAGGTCAACAGTCGACCCATTGATCGGGTGCACTAGGGCACCGGTCTAAGAATGAGCAGGTAGGTCAGTCACCAGGGGGGTAAATATAGACAGCGCAGGCCGTACTGTTGCACTGGGGCCCAGAGAGGTCGGGGGGGGTCATTGGCACCTCAGGAGCCATTTGCTATAAACCATTTTTTGTTGAAATTATATCCTTCTTTTATAGAATACAACAAATAATATAACAAATACGAATAAATAATAAAAACACACTTATGTAATTTTCATGCAATGATTCCCGATGTCAAGTCTCAGTTTGATCATGTGGTGAGACAATATGTGGCCGCTAGTACAGATTTAACTTTCCCAATACAATAGGCTCAGTTACTCGTTAGATATGCCTACTTTGTGCTATATGTGTATCTACGTACGCTCATGACAGCGTCCCCGAGGGCCCGGCAGACTTGATGTTTTCTTAAATGACCGGTTCTCGGACAAAAAGATCCAGACTGCGGTTTTCAGCGAAAGCGGATGTTTGTTTGGATCCCTCTAACGGGTCAACCAGTGGCTGGAGTGTGCATGCATGTGTGTGTGTGTGTGTGTGTGTGTGTGGCGTTGTGCAGAGAAGAACTGGGGAAAGAGGGAGGGGGGCGAGAGAGTCTGGAGTTTTGTTTTCAGCAGTGCTGGGTGCTTGAGGCTGGTGGTTTACAGTGTGCAGTTGTCACAACAAGAAAACTATTTTGAAAAATTGCAGCAGCGAATGGAAAGACACATTTCCCAGTACGCTGCAACCACAAGTGATGATTACAGGATACAGATAAAGCACAGGAAGCAGCTCATTTGCAACGTCTCTCATTCTCATTCTCATAGTTTCTTCACTGCAGCTTATTGCTTTGAAAGTAGGTGCACACCAGGAGCCAGTTGACACATTATTATAACCCCTCTGGCGAGTGTGTACTTTCAGAGTCCAGTACAGTTTATTCAGTACATGTGTGCTATGCACAAAAGCCTTTTTTTGGTCAGATAAGAATGTGGAATGTTAAGTCTCCAAACACAGGTGCTTCTTATGAAATGGAGAGATGGTTTGGATTGCCTCTACATTGGCAGACGATGTGTGCACATGATACACCTAAAGCTGCTCAAATTTGATCTAGGTTTTAGAGACTCAGTAGCTTAAACGATTTTACGGTTTCTGAGGTAAAGCAACTATTTTATCACTCGTCTCATCTCTGCAGAGCAAACCATTCCCTTAAATATTGCACTCAGCAAATTTAGTGGTGGAGGGGGCTTGCGTGCATGCGTGGATGCATGTATGCGCGCACGTGTGTGTATTTTTGAAATCTTCCGTGAGGAGCCGCCTTTACAGAAAACGGTCTTGTGAGAACATGATGGGAGCAGCAGGATTGATCGATTGGGTCTTGCAGAGGTTTACTGATAAGGAGCTGACATGCGTTCATTGGCTCGCCGGTCACATTGTGTAACTTCCGTCAAGACCTCCTGCCGATGGTGAGCTGCGAGGGGAACAGAGGGAGCGGCGTGGGATGCATCGGCTCTCGGGCCGGCGGGTCCACCGCAGAGGCGCTCGGATAGATTGGGAATGGCGGGCCAAGACAAACGGGGACGCCCAGAGGAGGCCCTGACCCGGGCCTTTGCAACAGCCCTCTGAGCTGCTCTGGCCTCCCAACCTCCACAACACTCACTGTTATTCTAGGCGGAGAAGCCCTCCCACTCCAGAGGGCGAGAGAGCGAGACAGGGAGGCTTGACGCCAAGGAGGGCCGAGGACGCAAACGGACACGATGGAGTTTTAAAAAGTTGAAAAAGGTGAGGAGAGAAGTGATTAAATGAGACTTGGGGGAAATGGATCAAAACAGGAATGTGTGGGTGTCCTCTGATAACAGAGGAATACACTCAGCTGTCCAAAGGGAGAAACACAATCTCTCAGACACATTCTAAATTGTGGCTTTGTGAGACAAATGCAAGTCAACACCTTTTAATTAACATGGCCAGTGAAAGCAGGGAGGGGATGACCAGCACGCTGCACCCGTTGGCCTTCAAATTAGATTTACTCCGACGTATTTATAGCCTCCACTTCCAGTAACAGCTAATATGATCGCCGAGAGGAGAAAGTGGAGGAGATCGAGGGGAACTAAAAACTGAAAACGGACACATTGATTGTGACCGAGAGCTCCTTCTGCAGAGGGCGGAAAAGTGAGTGAGCGTGGGAGACGGGGTAAAAAAAAAAGAAAAAACATAACATATCAAACATACAAAGAGTCGATTCTGTGCTGAGGGCGAGGGGGTTCGCTCAGGGTGGGAAGCTTCCTCGGCTCACAGAGAGGGCCTGTAACCGGAGGGTCAGAGGTCGCCAGGGAGCACGGTTACAGCCGTTTGTGAGAAGATGGAACAATGGTAGTTCTTATCAGAGAGATAGAGAGGAGGTCGGCGCTGGAGTTTGGCCCAGAGGTACAGCCCGGTCAGGGAGCCTCCGAAGGACGCATTCTTGGGATACTGTCTTTATCTGGCAAGAATGAGCGAAGCTGACGTCCCACACACGGCCTGTTTACCTCCTCAACCTCGGTCCCGCCCGCCGACAGAAATGTGATGGGTGGATTTGAGACGCGTGTTAGTGGAACAAGCGTCCCTGCCAACAAACATGCAGAATTCTCAACGCATTCGTGTCGCGGAGCGGCCGACCAGAAGTACAGCCCGGAGTGACAATTTGGCCGGCCCGACTGTACACATGGCGAGTTTCACTCTCTATCCGAGCACTGTTTAGTGGTCGGCCCGCGGTTTCCTCCAGCAGCGCACAGTCCGCTGCCAGCGGGACTCCTGTGATGCGACGTTCAGTTGCTTTTCAAGAATGAGATGGAAGGACAGAACGCTGAGTGAAGGATGAATAAAAGACAGTTCAGAGACTTTAAGGGAAAGTGGAGGGTTAACGCGCAAAAAAAACACCCGAACCGTCAAACAGGCTTTAAGAAGATGCCACAAAATGGCGGCGGCGGGACGAACGGCGGGGCCAGCGAGGCCAGCGGGGCCAGCGTGGCCTCAAGAATGGTCCCGCTGTGTGCAGAGTGTTTGTGGACTGTAGCCGAGCTGATGGACATGACCCAGGACCGGGCCTGGAATCCATTTAGTGTGTCCAAAAAGTGCCTGTGAATGTAAATAAAGCGCTTGAGCAAACAAACGCTTTTCGACACACAAACACGGGGGTGGGGGAGGTGCACGGGCCTGCAAAACAGATCACTGGCGTAGATGATGAGAACCCGGTCGCCTCTGTGCGCTTGCATCCACAGAAATTAAAACCAGGGTTCCTCTTCCTGCCTTCTGGCTAATCTTAGGGGTTTAACCCCCTGATTGATTAGAGAAAGCTCCATGGCAGAAGACCAACAAGGGCCCAATAAGAGGGTAACTTCATCCCTGTGTCCCGCCCCCTTCCCCCCCGTCTCCAATCTTGTCCTCCACTCCCACAGCGCTCAGCACCAATAACCGAGGACACACAGGGCCTTTTGGCCGGCTCCCGTGAGAGACGGCAGGTCCTACTGGCCGGGCCTGTTGACACAGATGGTGGCGAGCTTCATTATTTTTGTGAGGGGCGTGGAGGAGGTGGTGAAGGAGGAGGATTGGCTGAATTCATAGAGGTTGTTTATATGCTCGGGGAGGAAGGAGGCGGCGAACAGTCAGTCGGAACGCGTCCAGCATGTTGCACATGATCTGGCTCTCCACCGACACCACCGACAACCACCCAACGACCTTTCATCTCCGCCTCTGCCCCGCGGTTTTGACCGTTTCATCAATTTAGAGTCTTCACCAAGAAAATCATAGATTTCATTTTTGGACCACATTCAATACTTGACCATTAATCTACTGAAAGGTTGACTTTGTCAGACAAGGATGAGCAGCCCCCCTCCAATCTCTCTCGCCTCAAACTGAGCAACAACATCTGTTTCTCTTTCATTTCTCTGGGAAAAATGAATCATATTTTCGCTTTAGATCCCTGGTTGCAGAAACACATTTGGTAAAATCAGTGAATGTTAACGCAACCAAGCCGCTTTGTGGCTGGTAGCAATTCAAATAGTTTGTCAATTTCTGCTTCTGGTTGATCATTTCAGTTGGCATGAAATAACAAAACGGAATCTGCAGCCATGCCGGCCCTGTGCGAGGTGGTGCTGAGAAACATCTGTAGAAACAGCGGTAGATCCGTCAGCACTTGAAATTAAAACAGACTCCATCGTCTTCTATTTTATATACGTGGGAGGATCATGTACTCTAGATTTAGGTGGGCAGATGAGCATCAAACAGTGTAAAGTCTGCACAGGACTCTGGCCTTGTGGGCGCCCAGATTCCGCCTCCGCCCAAACCCCTGCGCTGTGCACATCTGCATCTCCTGGCCCCGTTTCCTTCTGTCCCACACCAACCTGCGAGACGCATGCCCTCTACTTGGCAGCCACATGTGGACAGCTGTGTGACTGGAAGCAGTTGCTCGCTTAATCGGCTGTGTTGAGCTACAGCTTTAAAGAAGGGGCGGGGGGGTTCTACATGGTGGATGCATCCCAGCTAATGTCAACAGTGTCCAGGCTGTGGCTCTTTTTTCCCCCTTTGTTTTTGTGATGAAGACATGTGGCAAACACTAGTGTGGAGGACCGTCACCAAGTGACTCACCTATCAGGTGCCGAGGGGTGTGGGGGTCACAGCTGCAGTCAATTAACATACCAGGTTCTGGTATTGGCGGCACGTTGGGCTTTCAATTGGACCCACATTCAGAGTAAAGAATGTTTAGGATTCCTCATCAACCGTTATTCAAAGGTGTTTTTGTCTCTTTCTGTACTTTCCTCGCATTCTTTCATCGCCTCATTCTTTCTTTTACTCGCTCCTTTGTTCCGGGCGCGGAAGAAAAAAAAAAGAATTCTCAGCAGGGCTGAAAGGGGAGCCTCCTCCCCGTAAGCTGCGTGTTTCACATTACGGGAATATTTCAACGTTGTATTTTGCTAACCTCTGGCGCGGATAAAACGCCGCGGAGCTCACAAAAAAAAAAAGTACGGCCTTCCCTTCGGAGTGACCGAATGTCTGCGAGCGGGGACATAACAAGAGGCCCATTGAGCGCGGCTCCTGCTGAGCACGCCGAGGGACGGCCGGCGGGGACAAGGCGGAGCTCTGGGAGGACGGGCCGTGGCAGAGTCCACCGACTGTTGGCTTTTCAAGCGACTCAATGTTTCCAAAACGGCATGAAAACCCCATTTATTATCTAGTCTGGCAGTTAGTTAGACTCTTTAAAGGGGTTTAGAATTGAGCCTGTGAACTCTTCTGTGGATTATTCCCACGTTTTTCCTCCATGAGTTTCATTTAGTTCCAGAAAGTAACTGGAGTCAAGAAACTTTATCCACTAAAAGAATTAGTATTCTAAAAAAGACAGTACAAATTTAAAGTGACATGGGCAGTGAAGTGTGAGGAGGGGGTTTGGGGGGGGGGAATGTAATGGAGGCTCTTTGTTTCCCCACAGAGGCCGTACAGTCAGAGACCAGGTGTGCGTGAAAGCACAGACACAGGTGAGCCCTCATCGTGAGCGCCGTCTCACAGATTACAGGATAGAAAAACTACACACAGACAAAATTAAACTATTTTTATGCTGATGATTAAGTCGGTCTGAATGTAGATCTTTTCTGACTATATATTTGACTATAATAAAAATTCAGAATAAGTTAAGTTAAGCATGATTTTCTGCGTAAATAATCGTTAGTTAGCTGACGTTATATAATGCTGGTTAATTGTTTTTATTTTACATTTTATTTATTGAACTGATGAACCAATTGAGCCGGCTGACACCAGAGAGGTCAGTGAGTGATGTGTCTGTTGTGGGAGCTGTAACCAGTCTAAGGTCTGGGTTTCAGTCTGGCTCTGCAGGGGCGAGGGGTATATTGGGGCGAGGGGGTGGGAGAGGGCACCCTATCCTGGAATAGCTCCCCTGACCTGGAATGCTCTTGGGAATGTGCAGCACGTGGTTTGATCGGTCCGGAGGGGAAGTGTGTGTGTGTGTGTGTGTGTGTGTGTGTGTGTGTGTGTGTGACATGTGGTTTGAGCGGCACCAGTGATCAGAAGGTTATGGAATCTGTGTAGATCATCACTACGGGAAAACATCCTCTGTGTGGTCAGCAGGTTGACAGCCACGCCACGAGGGTCTCTCGGCCGCCATCCTGTCCGCACCTCGTTGTTTCAACTCCTGTCACCCCCCCCGGCCCTTGTGTACGTGTGCTCCACTTCTTTGTGAAACCAGATCTGTCTCGTCCATCTCAGGGTGGAGGAGCACAGACAGGCCCATTAGGCCCCATGCTCTGCAGGTTGACCTCTCAACCCCCCCACCGAGCCGCTGTTTGAGCTGGGGGGGCGGGGCAGGCTAGGTCAGCATTCTGCAAGGTCATCACGGCGCTATCAGCCGCTATCAGTGTGTCTGCAAGCGAGCGGGGCCGCTCCAAGGTCTGCAAACATTACTGGCTCGTGTACCAACAGGCGGTTTGGGCCTGCAGACTCACTGACACCAGAAGACGGAGGGCAGACCCTAATTTCCCGCCGTGTCAACCTTCAGCAGCCCGAGGGCCGGAGGAGCCGGACTGTACAGTCGGGCTAACAGCAGCGTGTAGGAGAAGGGCATCCGACTCTCACGGCCCAGCCTGCTAGAGGCGATGGCCCGGCAGGATTCCTGCGTTAACCCCGGGTTCCTGCTCTCGCCCCCCCACTCCTCCTGCCCGGCGAACCCAAATCTCTGCCACAACATCCCCGACAGGAGGACCACTCCCTCCGCCGTGTTTGCTCAGCTGCGCCGGCTTTGTGTCGGCGTATCGGAACCCTCTTGTTCCCGCCGCCCGGCTGTTCTCTCGCTCTGTTTGGTTTCTTTTCTCCCGGCGGTTTGTAGCTTCGCTCGTTGTTTGTTTGGCTTCGGGCGCGAGAGCGCGTCTGACGCGTCCGCGGGCTTGGCGGGTGGAGAGGTCGGGGCGAGGTGGCTACCTGAGGAAGCCACGTCTCCTGCTGCATAGCGTCTCAGTGGTGTCAACATGTGCAACGCCTCACCGCTGCGATCGCCCCGCACGCCGACACCAAACCCCTTCGTGCACAGAGCGTTTTACTTAGTAAGCAGCTCCAACGGACAACATTTTTTCATGTGATGTAATCGATGTGGACGCAGCGCCTCGTTCTCTGACCATGCTCGTGTGTGCCGTCCACTCGGAGCCCAACCTGCAAAGATGCGTAACCGCTTGCGTCTCGGCGGCGGCCCCAGCCCCGACACCCCGCTGCACTCGTCCTCGTCGTCGCAGTCGCCGCTCTCCAGCCCCTCCTCCCCGTCATCGCTCCCCGCGTCCGCTCCAACGTCACGTGACCGGGCCCTCCAGCGCTTGTCAGACACGGTCACCAGGCGCAGCAACTGTGGGAAGAACAGGAAGAGGTTAAGAGGTAATTGTGTTAAAACATTTTTTTTCTTTCTTTTAGTTTTTTAACCTCATCCGGCCCCTCTCTCTCTTCATGAATCACTCTGTGGCCGGAATGTGCCTGAGCATTAATGGTTTAACAAAGCTGTTAAAATAAATAAGGGGGTGTCTCTTGACGGCTGCGCGCTCTGTATGATTAGAACAGTTTGGCGGGGAATTCCTGACAAGAACTCAATGAGATCTAAAAGCGCTGGTATTTACCAAAGCCCAATTTCATTTGCCAGGAAAAGAGGTTTGTTATCGGTGCCAGTTCGGTTATTTCTGTCCAAACGTGATTCATTCAAAGAGGTTGTGGCTGTCGCTCCGTGTAATTTACGGGTAGAGAAAGAAACGGAGGGGCAGGCAGACTGGTGCGACCGTGTTGTGACTGGCGGACATCCTTGTCTTGTGTGGTTATCTCAGGGCAACAGGGACACAATAACGCAAGTGCACATTAAGACCTCGAGGTCTAAAACGAGAGAATGGGATGAACGATAAAGAAAAATGTGTGTTAATGTTTGTAATGTTCAGACTTATTGAACCAGTTAAAATCTGAATCTTCTGAGGAGGACATGTAGAATTAACAAGATGCCAACAAGATAATAAATCAAGCAAAAGAACAATGCTAAAGGGACAGTAACAATATTAAGTCTGATACAAAACATTAAAAAATCTGATCTCTGATTTCTTTTCCAACAGAATCTTGTTCCAGTTCGGCCGATTGGCTGTAAAAACAGTGGTTCAGCTCAGATATTCCCCTCTAGGGGTTTTCAGAAAACGTGTTTGTGCAAAACATACCAGAGCTGTTTATTGAGAACTCTGTTAAACTAACAACTCATAAATAAGACACAAACGTCCAAGAGCTGTGACGCAAATACAAAACCTCTGAATATTTCCTGATGGGAAAGTGTGAGAGGAGGGCCAATAATGAAATCTACACATCGAACAATAAAAACGAAGCAAACACGACAACTTTCATTTACTTTTGTTGTGCAGCTTCAGAACACAAAACTGAAAAACTTGTTGTGTGTCCAAGGGTGAAAACACGTGAGCCTTGTTAGAGACAAATACATGGCTGCCACAACATCGCACATGATTGAGAGCCCTGCCAAGGTAACAGATGTGCTAAATTCCTTCCTCTTGCCCTGTCGAGCCTCCTTTTATCTCCCCGCTCTGCCTCCTTGTTTGCGTTTCATCGATTTCCTTCCTATCTGCATACGTCAGCATGCATTTTTTGCTTGTTGTTTTCGGTTGTTTTGGCTGGAAATGGGAGGAAATTGCGTTCAGATGGGCCATGTCTCATTTCAGCTGTGACGTTTGCCTGAGATCTGACCGCGTGCGTGTGTGTGTGTGTGTGTGTGCGCGTGAGAGACAGAGCGAGACAGAGAGCGGAGGTATAAAAACGTAGAGCTAATCACAGAATTACGTCAGTCACAAGATAAACAAGCCCGTTCCCTTCGCCCGTACATACAAACCAGTCAATCTGGGTTTTACAAGTGACATAAACTCTAAGGTTTAGAAGGGGAAACACACATCACCTTGTTCCCAGCATGGCCACCCAACAAACCTCCTTTCATTTCTCAATATTGAGGCCACACACACACACACACACACACACACAGCATGACCGCCACGGAGCGAGGGGATGGACAAACGGTAAGTCATACACAGGATGGTTGGTCCATGGGGTCATCTGGACTTTGGTTTGAGGTAAAGCTCCCGTGTTGACAGAGCCGAGCTCTCAGGTGTCACATGGAAACAAACCCCCGAGATGTACGCTGGTTTAATGCACTTGACCGTTTAGTTGTGGACTTCGCAGTGTTTGCCTGCGTTCGCCCTCTTTATGGTCGGCATCCTGGCAACTCGACTGGTATTTGGGAGGGGAGGGGCGCCTCGCAGGCCAATTAAAAGGCAAACAAACACTTCTCAGCAAAGCAAGGAGAAAAAAAAGACGTGGTTTTCGGGGTATTTTAGAACAAAACCTAAAAGAAGGTATATGAGGAATGAGGGGAGAGGCATTTGGGAGCAACTGTCACGTGTCTGTTAAGAGCTCCGTCCATGTGAACGCTGCCATGTGTAGCTCGCCGCCTGCCAACAAACACATCGACTTGTCCACATTCACAGACGGGCCGTCCTCCCAGGCACTGGATGCTGATGACGGAAGGAACGACGCTGCGAAAATCAGCAGGCCGACCCGCTCGCGATGACAATGGGAGCGCGCCGATGTTTAACATTGTTAATCTAACTTTGACGCGTGAGCATGCCAATATATACAGAGCTATAATAAAAAAAATTTAAAAAGTGCTAAAAATGAATTAATTCTGAGGAAAATATGAACATCAGATGTCATGAAACTCTGCTTACGGCAACACAAGAATGAACTCGGTTTCATGCGAGGGGAGGGGGGATCAAAAAGCATAAAACCTACAGATGTTTTTGGGCAATTACATTAAGATTTTTTGCTGCATAATAATAGGCGTCGCCTAAATGGGGGTAGAGCAGCGAGCTGTGCCCTTCCCTTCTCCACATTAGGGAGGTGGGGGGCGGCGGCGGCTTCTCCCCACTGGCTGACTGCCACTGTCAGGGCTGCGGTACCGACGAGGGGTGGGATGTGTGTTTGTGTCGAAAGTGATGCTGCGATCTTGGCATCGCTTGGCGCTGTGATCAGCGACAAGAGCCTCCGCATTTACCACAAGAGGGAGGAACCTGTGGAAAGGGCTGGAATCTGCTGCAATTAAAATAAGAGAAATCCAAGCAAAAGGAAGCTGGAAGGAAACAAATAAAACAGACATTTTTAGGAGAAATGCTCCAGTATGTTTTCCATTAGGAGGAGAGGAAATCTGCCCCCCCCCTTCCTGTCACTTCTGGCTGGCCTGCTGGATGCGCACAACGTGCAATCAGGACGGCCAAACCTCCATGAACCCGAAAGCGCAAAGTCACGCCGAGGAAACGCGGGCTCAAAAGTTGCGAACAAAGCCAAAACATGTGGCGGATTGCTCAGTGCGGGCCAGTCCAGACAGAGACACAGAAACCACAAGTCTGTCACTACCTCCCACACATGACATGAACTCCACCCGGGGTCACTGTTCGGCACAACAGCTGCAGCGCAGCCCCCCATCTTAGCATGAACGTCATAACAGCAGAAGGGAACCAGCGATGTGGGGAGTGAAGCGGGGAGGGGATGAGTAATGAAGACAGAAAGACTCCAGAAGACACGTCGGTGTGATTGTGATGGAGCGCCGCGTCGTGTCCTCCTCCGCCGCTCATGACTCGGCTCGGACAGCAATCTGCATCTCTGTTTCTCGCGCCGCCTCAGCACATCTAGTCGACAAATCTAATCTACAGAACCTGAGGCCCGGCTTCCCCAAACAGAGCTTTCTCGTCACGCCGGTGCTGATCGGATCTCTGGGTTCACCATCACGTATCAGCACATTGCCTGCTGGCTTAAAGCGGCCGCCATCAAGATCAACACTGCGTCAGGTGTGTAATGTGAAATGAGTCATATTTCGTGCACACCCACAGAAAATGATCACAACTCTGCTGCTCCCCTCAGCTCGCACAGCTTTTATTTTGGTGTCCTTCAGATCGTTGGTTTGGTTCTATCACGCACACATTTGTACTTTTGCAAAGAAACCTCATTACGGTACCTGCCCTGCACGCCGCCACATGAGCCGGCAGGATTCAGCCGCTAAAGAGACAGATGTTTCCCTCAAGCACCGATGGACATCAGACGTAAACGAAGGCTGAGTTCAGCGGGACGGTCGGTGGTTGGAAAACAAGAGGACTATTGTTACAACAGAGTAGGCGAGAGAGGAGCGTTTAGACAATCAGTTACATTCCAGTTATATTCTAACTACATAAAGTACAGCAGGTCAAAGTTCACCACGAGGTCTGTAAATGTTTACAACTTACAGTAATGACTTTGGTTCCTCTTTCAAATAAGTGGGAGCAGTGAGGCCGCAGAACAAACGAAGATAACGTATTGTGATAAACTGATTTCAGAATTCATTCATCATTTCAGTTTGAGGTGCTGAAGAAAATGTCAAGTCTCAGTCTTTTCCCGTAGTCGTGTCCTCGACCAACTTCAGGCATGCAGAGCTTTGGTTGAGAAATATGAACCTGCTACTAATTGTGTCCCATTTATTGCAGAGACTTTGTAAAGCCACAAACATTCTGTGCGATTGTGATTGTGTATTTTTAATCAGTGCCGATGCCCGGGGTCACAGCGCGGGACAAATGAAACGTTTCAGAACAGACTATTTTTCTCAATAAACAAAGGAAATGAGCTTCCATTACACCTAATCCCCCACCAGCACGCCGAGCCGCTGCGCTCGGATCCGGTTTGCAGACGTGCCGTTTGGAGCGGAGGAGCCAGGAGGGACGAGGGGAAGGGACGAGGGACGCCGCGGGAGCGGGACGAACGGACGCAGCAATGGCGGGAGGCGCTCTTCAAGGAGTGAGTCATGGAAAAGCTCCTTTCGGCCTGTCGTTTGGGGGGCCGCGGCCTGCCCTGAGGTCCCGCCCCGCTCTCATCACTCAGCTTTTATTGAATCTGAAGCGGAGAGCGGAGGGGGACGTCTGCTCGTTCTTCCCTCTGTTGCTCTTCTTGACTTTCCAGTCTTGTCCTCCTCTTTCCGTCCGCGGTCAAGTATGTCACGCAGCGGGAGCCCTGCCTCAGACAATTAATGCAGACAAGATTCATTTCCTGAGGTTAATTCCAGTTGGAACAGAACACACTGTGTTAAACTGGGCGTGTGTCCACTGCACCTTTCTCACTGAGCCCATGAGGCCACTTCCAGATTTCTCCAGTTTAGACCGAATCCTCAATGAATGTTTGTTTTTTGTTGCCAGGGACTCCTTTGGTAGATGAAACTGTTGAACCCTTCACATGTATTTAAGATATCAGATTAAATGCAGTTTGTATCCTTTGTGTCGTCTCTGGTCATTCAGACATTCT